TGTCTTCCCATAATGTTGCTGGAGGAGACAGATGGACTCCAGGTTAGGCATTTACATCTAGCCTGTTTACATTTCTTGAGGCAAGAGATGGTTGGGCTCCAGTTGAGCCTTTACAGTCAGTGTCCTGCTTGCCCTGTGAAATGGAAGTAACAACAGAAAGAGGGTAAATAGCCAGTGTCTGTCTCTTATGAACACTTTAGTAGCCATGACAAGGGCAAAGAGGGACAAAACCCTGCTTGAGTCAAGGATGAAGAGATCTCCCCTCCCCCCACCCCCCTTGTGGGAGAAGGGAAACACTACACACGCGCAGAGAGGCTCCTTGTGGGTGAAAGGTCCCGCGAAAGTGCCAGACCATGATGAGCCTCGCTTCTCCCAGAAGCCTCCACTTGGAGATCCATCTTGGCTGAGGGGTATGTGCACACCAGGGCAGAGGCCCAGGATAGGTCAGATGTGAAGAAAGGAACCAGAAACTTGGCAGGAAGGAAGACAAAGACCCAGAAGAACTGGCCTATATAAAGGACTTCACCACCTCGTGGTTATTGTGCTCCTTCTCACCAGGGGGCGCCCATAACCTTTCTCTCCAGGTGTGTGTCTCTGCTTTGCTTCTGTCGGAACTAGACCAGCTGTTCCTCCGTGTTCTTTCCCACGTGTTGCTGTGCTGTGTCTCTGATAATAAACGTTGTACCTGCATGTAGCGATTCTGCCTCCATGATGAATGCATTTTTCACTGGTCAAAGATCCAGGGAAACTTGGCTTCTAGCCTCTAGCCCTTGCTGGTCTGGTGGCTAGGATTCCTGGTTTTCGTTCAGGCTACCCAGGTTCAGTTCCTGGGCAGCGAATTAGATCTCACTTCACGCCACCACTCACTGCTGCCTCACTGAGATCAACTCAATTTTTATCACCATTTAATCTACATCATATGAATTTTTGCAACTTTTCGTAAAAGGACTTCTTAGGTATTAACATACTGATATTTCCATAAGGGGGAAATACTTCTTCCCTAAAACTGCATTGAGAAGATTTGCACTTAAGAAAGTGTGTTTTACTGTAGCAGAATTATTATTTTGTCTTTACACTCTAGCATTTGTTAAATCCTTAACTGCCAAGAACTGTTCAGGCTTCCCTGGTGGCTCAGCTGGTGAGGAATCCAGCTGCAGTGCAGGAGACCTGGGTTCGATCCCTGGGTTGCAAAGACCCCCTGGAGAAGGGAAACGGCTACCCACTCTAGTATTCTGGCCTGGGGAATTCCATGGACTGTACAGTCCATGCGTTCGCAGAGTCAGACATGACAGAGCGACTTTCACTGTTCACCAGCAACGGTTCGGCCTGAGATAAGAACTTTCAAAAATCTTTGAACACAGACGCTCTAACTTATTTTCCCTCTGGGATAAATATTTTGCATTTACTTTTAGGTCATATAGACACAATAGGCAGAGAACTCTCTTATTATGTATTTTATTTGCATGTAAATTAACATCCTAGAAACTTTAAAATAGAAACACTAAATACAGTATTGCACAGAACAATCTCTGTTAAATGCCCCATTATCTCACTGAAGTTCCTATACGCATGGAGGGACTGAAGGAGACAGGAAGATGGCAGAAGAGCAGCCCGAGAGCCACTACTGTGTCTGGGCACATCAACTACAGACTGCAAGGTAAGGACAGTATTTTATAGGAATAGAAACATAGTTACAATTCAGATTTCCTTTTTAAGTTGCCTCCTTAATTGGTTTGCAGTAGCAACAGATTCTCCCCTTTTTTCATAGCCATTCCCCAACACATATCATTTTTAAAAATCTATTAATGTTAGACAAAGCCATCACAGTGCTTCAGGAGTGACTTCAAGAAAACTCCAATCAAGTCACAGTACTCAGGCAGGGGGGTTTAATAGCCAAGTCCTAGGTAGATATCAATCCATCTGAAAGTGGGCAGTAATGTTTGAACACATCTAGGATTTCCTTTTAAACACATGCTCCAAGGAAAACAGTACTGAATTGACCAGAGGAACAGTAAAAAGAGGACATCACTGGAAGGGAGTTTACACTGCCAGTCTGGCCCTGCGGTCTGGCGCTGGGGTAGCATCTGCTCGCTTGGCCCCTGTGTCCCTCAGGGAGGTCACGGGCTCAAGAGTGCAGAACAAGTATCATCACTAGGACTGCCCAGAGCTGCTGCGAACATCCAAAAAGTTTCACTTTAAGAGTTCTTTAGAGGGCTTCCCTGGCGATCCAGTGCAGGGGCCTGGGTTCAATCTCTGGTCAGTGAACTAGATCCCATTCAGTGCAAGGAAGAGTTTGCACGCCACAATGAAAGATCCCATGTGTGGCAACCAAGACCTGGTGCAGCTTACAAAAGAGAAAAAAGGCACAAAATGTTCTTTAGAAAGTGCTATAAAATGCTATGAATGATTGCTTCTGCTAAGCAAATGGTAAGAAAATATGTGTATTAGTTGCTCAGCGGTGTCCGACTCTTTGTGACTCCATGGACTGTGGCCTTCCCAGTTCCTCTGTCCGTGGAATTCTCTAGGCAAGAATACTGGAAGAGGTGGCCATTCCCTTCTGCAGGCGATCTTCTCAACCCAGGCATGAAACCCAGGTCTCCTGCATTGCAGACAGAGTCTTTACCACCTGAGCCACCAGGGAAGCCCAGGAAATACGTCGACCGGAATCCTCTTAATCAAGACAGGGGCCATTAGAGAGAAAATAACCTACTCGGTTAATTTAGTTTTATTATTGCCATTCTCCTTGGGAATTAAAAATAGGGTACTTCTGGAGAAACTGACAAAGCTGTGATTTATCTTAATAAAAGACTTCTTATGGAGATCTTGAAACCTGTTTCCGGAAAGAAATGAGTTCTAAATATATTTCTTAAGCCTGGTGGCAAAGTTTCTAATGACAGAATTCATCTCCCATGCAGATCAATGAATCCCTGTTGTTTTTTTTCATTTATTTTTATTAGTTGGAGGCTAATGACTTTACAAATTTTTTTGTCATACATTGACATGAATTAGCCATGGATTTACATGTATTTCCCATCCCGATCCCCCCTCCCACCTCCGTCTCGACCCGATCCCTTTGGCTCTTCCCAGTGCACCAGACAAGGTCCGAGCACTTGTCTCCTGCATCCAACCTGGGCTGGTGATCTCTTTCACCCTAGATTATATATACATGTTTCGATGCTGTTCTCTTGAAACATCCCACCCGCGCCTTCTCCCACAGAGTCCAAAAGTCTGTTCTATACATCTGTGTGCCTTTTTCTGTTTTGCAAATAGGGTTATCGTTACCATCTTTCTCAATTCCGTGTATATGTGTTAGTATCCTCTAATGGTCTTTATCTTCCTGGCTTACTTCAGTCTGTATAACGGGCTCCAGTTTCATCCATCTCTTTAGAACTGATTCAAATGAATTCTTTTTAATGGCTGAGTAAGATTCCATGGTGTATATGTACCACAGCTGCCTTATCCATTCGTCTGCTGACGGGCATCTAGGTTACTTCCATGTCCTGCCTATTATAAACGGTGCTGCGATGAACATTGGGGTGCACGTGTCTCTTTCAGATCTGGTTTCCTCGGCGTGTATGCCCAGAAGTGGGATTGCTGGATCTTAGGGCAGTTCTTTTTCCAGTTTTTTAAGAAATCTCCACACTGTTTTCCATAGTGGCTGTACTAGTTTGCATTCCCACCAACAGGGTAAGAGGGTTCCCTTTTCTCCACACCCTCTCCAGCATTTATTGCTTGTAGACTTTTTGGATAGCAGCCATCCTGACTGGCGTGTAATGGTACCTCATTGTGGTTTTGATTCGCATTTCTCGGATAATGAGTGATGTTGAGCATCTTTTCATGTGTCTTTTAGCCATCTGTATGTCTTCTTGGAGAAATGTCTGGTTAGCTCTTTGGCCCATTTTTTGATTGGGTCATTTATTTTCTGGAGTTGAGCTGGAGGAGTTGCTTGTATATGTTTGAGATTAATCCTTTGTGTGTTGCTTCGTTTGCTGTTATTTTCTCCCAATCTGAGGGCTGTCCTTTCACCTCGCTTATAGTTTCTTTGTCGTGCAAAAGCTCTTAAGTTTCATTAGGTCCCGTTTGTTAATTTTCGCTTTTGTTTCTAATACTCTGGGATCCTGCTGTGATGTATGTCGGAGAGTGTTTTGCCTGTGTTCTCCTCTAGGAGTTTTATGGTTTCTGGTCTTAACATTTAGATCTTTAATCCATTTTGAGTTTATTTCTGTGTATGGTGTTAGAAAGTGTTCTCGTTTCATTCTTTTCCAGGTGGCTGACCAGTTTTCCCAGCACCGCTTGTTAAAGAGGTTGTCTTTTTTTCCACTGTATATCCTTGCCTCCTTTGTCGAAGATAAGGTGACCATAGGTTCGTGGATTTATCTCTGGGCTTTCTGTTCTGTTCCATTAATCTATATTTCTGTCTTTGTGCCAGTACCATACTGTCTTGATGACTGTGGCTTTGTGGTATAGTGTGAAGTCAGGCAGGTTGATTCCTCCAGTTCCATTCTTCTTTCTCAAGATTCCTTTGGCTATTCGAGGTGTTTTGCATTTCCATACAAATTGTGAAATTATTTGCTCTAGTTCTCTGAAAGCTGCCGTTGGTAGCTTGATAGGGATTGCATTGAATCTGTAGATTGCTTTGGGTACTATAGCCATTTTGACAATATTGAGAATCCCTGTTTTTCAACAACGGAATGAATCAAATCATTGAGTGCAGCAGCTCTGAGGTTACTGTTACAGCTCACATTAAGGCAAGATGGATCAAGGTAACTGTTGGTTTGTTTGTTTTTTTAGCCGTTGGTGAAAATCCAGTAGATGCTGTCTTAAATTTACTTAGAACTCTTGAAGGAAGAATTTTAAGGGCCTCAGGAAGGTGCTGTGCTTGGCGAGCGGCGGGGCGAGGAGGGGGGCAGAGGTAGGGCGAAGGGGCGGGGCTGAGGCACTCGGGTGGACCGCGCTGGTGGCTCCCGTTGGGTTTGGGCCCCAGGCAGGTGCCGGGCAGGATGGGTGCTCAGGGCCCCGGCTGCGCTCCGCCTATGCCCGAGGGAGGCTCAGAGGACCGAGGGCCGCGGTCCGCGGCGGGCCCGAATCAGACACCTCCGGGGCCACGTGGCCCTGAGCCACGAACGGGAGTGGGCAGGGGGGGCGCCGACAGGGGGCGGGCCTGGAGAGGCCCAGGGCGGGAGGGCGCCGAGACCTCCGCGCCCCTCACCCCAACCCCAAGCCCAGGCATGCACGCCCGACCGCCTGCTCGGGGTCCCGGAAACACTCCGGGCCCCCGGGCCGGGCCAGGTTTGCTGGCCAGGGTTACTGGTGTGCGGGGACGGGGAGGCTTCGGCCGGGCTGCCGGCCCTGGCCGGCGCGCCCCGTGGAAAGGTGCGGCCGGCTGGCTCGACACGGCACATCAGAGCGAAAAGGAGGCGCAGCGCAGGGTTTTTAAAGGTGCCTGGCGGCAACCGCCTCCATCTAAGATCATACCACCCTGAACGGGCCAGATGTCTTCTGATCGGGGAAACTAAGCAGGGTTAGTTAGTACTTGGATGGGAGACCCCCTAGTAGTTAGGAGCTCCAGGCTTTTGCACAAAGTAGACGACAAGCCAACGCAGAGGTGATGAAAAGTTTATCGTGAAAAATCCAATTCAACCTGAATTCAAAGATGGTTTATGGCATAAAAGCAAGTGTTTTCCATTAGGTTCCCCCCCACCCCCCATTAACTTGCATAATGGTTGCCATTAGCATAATGCTTAGTTTTTATTCCTTCTTTCCTTGTCTATATCCATCTTTTTGCACCATCATGTGGTGCCTTATTGGCATAATTTTCCGCCTTTTGTCTTCCCATAATGTTGCTGGAGGAGACAGATGGACTCCAGGTTAGGCATTTACATCTAGCCTGTTTACATTTCTTGAGGCAAGAGATGGTTGGGCTCCAGTTGAGCCTTTACAGTCAGTGTCCTGCTTGCCCTGTGAAATGGAAGTAACAACAGAAAGAGGGTAAATAGCCAGTGTCTGTCTCTTATGAACACTTTAGTAGCCATGACAAGGGCAAAGAGGGACAAAACCCTGCTTGAGTCAAGGATGAAGAGATCTCCCCTCCCCCCACCCCCCTTGTGGGAGAAGGGAAACACTACACACGCGCAGAGAGGCTCCTTGTGGGTGAAAAGTCCCGCGAAAATGCCAGACCATGATGAGCCTCGCTTCTCCCAGAAGCCTCCACTTGGAGATCCATCTTGGCTGAGGGGTATGTGCACACCAGGGCAGAGGCCCAGGATAGGTCAGATGTGAAGAAAGGAACCAGAAACTTGGCAGGAAGGAAGACAAAGACCCAGAAGAACTGGCCTATATAAAGGACTTCACCACCTCGTGGTTATTGTGCTCCTTGTCACCAGGGGGCGCCAATAACCTTTCTCTCCAGGTGTGTGTCTCTGCTTTGCTTCTGTCGGAACTAGACCAGCTGTTCCTCCGTGTTCTTTCCCACGTGTTGCTGTGCTGTGTCTCTGATAATAAACGTTGTACCTGCATGTAGCGATTCTGCCTCCATGATGAATGCATTTTTCACTGGTCAAAGATCCAGGGAAACTTGGCTTCTAGCCTCTAGCCCTTGCTGGTCTGGTGGCTAGGATTCCTGGTTTTCGTTCAGGCTACCCAGGTTCAGTTCCTGGGCAGCGAATTAGATCTCACTTCACGCCACCACTCACTGCTGCCTCACTGAGATCAACTCAGTTTTTATCACCATTTAATCTACATCATATGAATTTTTGCAACTTTTCGTAAAAGGACTTCTTAGGTATTAACATACTGATATTTCCATAAGGGGGAAATACTTCTTCCCTAAAACTGCATTGAGAAGATTTGCACTTAAGAAAGTGTGTTTTACTGTAGCAGAATTATTATTTTGTCTTTACACTCTAGCATTTGTTAAATCCTTAACTGCCAAGAACTGTTCAGGCTTCCCTGGTGGCTCAGCTGGTGAGGAATCCAGCTGCAGTGCAGGAGACCTGGGTTCGATCCCTGGGTTGCAAAGACCCCCTGGAGAAGGGAAACGGCTACCCACTCTAGTATTCTGGCCTGGGGAATTCCATGGACTGTACAGTCCATGCGTTCGCAGAGTCAGACATGACAGAGCGACTTTCACTGTTCACCAGCAACGGTTCGGCCTGAGATAAGAACTTTCAAAAATCTTTGAACACAGACGCTCTAACTTATTTTCCCTCTGGGATAAATATTTTGCATTTACTTTTAGGTCATATAGACACAATAGGCAGAGAACTCTCTTATTATGTATTTTATTTGCATGTAAATTAACATCCTAGAAACTTTAAAATAGAAACACTAAATACAGCATTGCACAGAACAATCTCTGTTAAATGCCCCATTATCTCACTGAAGTTCCTATACGCATGCAGGGACTGAAGGAGACAGGAAGATGGCAGAAGAGCAACCCGAGAGCCACTACTGTGTCTGGGCACATCAACTACAGACTGCAAGGTAAGGACAGTATTTTATAGGAATAGAAACATAGTTACAATTCAGATTTCCTTTTTAAGTTGCCTCCTTAATTGGTTTGCAGTAGCAACAGATTCTCCCCTTTTTTCATAGCCATTCCCCAACACATATCATTTTTAAAAATCTATTAATGTTAGACAAAGCCATCACAGTGCTTCAGGAGTGACTTCAAGAAAACTCCAATCAAGTCACAGTACTCAGGCAGGTGGGTTTAATAGCCAGGTCCTAGGTAGATATCAATCCATCTGAAAGTGGGCAGTAATGTTTGAACACATCTAGGATTTCCTTTTAAACACATGCTCCAAGGAAAACAGTACTGAATTGACCAGAGGAACAGTAAAAAGAGGACATCACTGGAAGGGAGTTTACACTGCCAGTCTGGCCCTGCGGTCTGGCGCTGGGGTAGCATCTGCTCGCTTGGCCCCTGTGTCCCTCAGGGAGGTCACGGGCTCAAGAGTGCAGAACAAGTATCATCACTAGGACTGCCCAGAGCTGCTGCGGACATCCAAAAAGTTTCACTTTAAGAGTTCTTTAGAGGGCTTCCCTGGCGATCCAGTGCAGGGGCCTGGGTTCAATCTCTGGTCAGTGAACTAGATCCCATTCACTGCAAGGAAGAGTTTGCACGCCACAATGAAAGATCCCATGTGTGGCAACCAAGACCTGGTGCAGCTTACAAAAGAGAAAAAAGGCACAAAATGTTCTTTAGAAAGTGCTATAAAATGCTATGAATGATTGCTTCTGCTAAGCAAATGGTAAGAAAATATGTGTATTAGTTGCTCAGCGGTGTCCGACTCTTTGTGACTCCATGGACTGTGGCCTTCCCAGTTCCTCTGTCCGTGGAATTCTCTAGGCAAGAATACTGGAAGAGGTGGCCATTCCCTTCTCCAGGCGATCTTCTCAACCCAGGCATGAAACCCAGGTCTCCTGCATTGCAGACAGAGTCTTTACCACCTGAGCCACCAGGGAAGCCCAGGAAATACGTCGACCGGAATCCTCTTAAGACAGGGGCCATTAGAGAGAAAATAACCTACTCGGTTAATTTAGTTTTATTATTGCCATTCTCCTTGGGAATTAAAAATAGGGTACTTCTGGAGAAACTGACAAAGCTGTGATTTATCTTAATAAAAGACTTCTTATGGAGATCTTGAAACCTGTTTCCGGAAAGAAATGAGTTCTAAATATATTTCTTAAGCCTGGTGGCAAAGTTTCTAATGACAGAATTCATCTCCCATGCAGCTCAATGAATCCCTGTTGTTTTTTTTTCATTTATTTTTATTAGTTGGAGGCTAATGACTTTACAAATTTTTTTGTCATACATTGACATGAATTAGCCATGGATTTACATGTATTTCCCATCCCGATCCCCCCTCCCACCTCCGTCTCGACCCGATCCCTTTGGCTCTTCCCAGTGCACCAGGTCCGAGCACTTGTCTCCTGCATCCAACCTGGGCTGGTGATCTCTTTCACCCTAGATTATATATACATGTTTCGATGCTGTTCTCTTGAAACATCCCACCCGCGCCTTCTCCCACAGAGTCCAAAAGTCTGTTCTATACATCTGTGTGCCTTTTTCTGTTTTGCAAATAGGGTTATCGTTACCATCTTTCTCAATTCCGTGTATATGTGTTAGTATCCTCTAATGGTCTTTATCTTCCTGGCTTACTTCAGTCTGTATAACGGGCTCCAGTTTCATCCATCTCTTTAGAACTGATTCAAGTGAATTCTTTTTAATGGCTGAGTAAGATTCCATGGTGTATATGTACCACAGCTGCCTTATCCATTCGTCTGCTGACGGGCATCTAGGTTACTTCCATGTCCTGCCTATTATAAACGGTGCTGCGATGAACATTGGGGTGCACGTGTCTCTTTCAGATCTGGTTTCCTCGGCGTGTATGCCCAGAAGTGGGATTGCTGGATCTTAGGGCAGTTCTTTTTCCAGTTTTTTAAGAAATCTCCACACTGTTTTCCATAGTGGCTGTACTAGTTTGCATTCCCACCAACAGGGTAAGAGGGTTCCCTTTTCTCCACACCCTCTCCAGCATTTATTGCTTGTAGACCATTTGGATAGCAGCCATCCTGACTGGCGTGTAATGGTACCTCATTGTGGTTTTGATTTGCATTTCTCGGATAATGAGTGATGTTGAGCATCTTTTCATGTGTCTTTTAGCCATCTGTATGTCTTCTTGGAGAAATGTCTGGTTAGCTCTTTGGCCCATTTTTTGATTGGGTCATTTATTTTCTGGAGTTGAGCTGGAGGAGTTGCTTGTATATGTTTGAGATTAATCCTTTGTGTGTTGCTTCGTTTGCTGTTATTTTCTCCCAATCTGAGGGCTGTCCTTTCACCTCGCTTATAGTTTCTTTGTCGTGCAAAAGCTTTTAAGTTTCATTAGGTCCCGTTTGTTAATTTTCGCTTTTGTTTCTAATACTCTGGGATCCTGCTGTGATGTATGTCGGAGAGTGTTTTGCCTGTGTTCTCCTCTAGGAGTTTTATGGTTTCTGGTCTTAACATTTAGATCTTTAATCCATTTTGAGTTTATTTCTGTGTATGGTGTTAGAAAGTGTTCTCGTTTCATTCTTTTCCAGGTGGCTGACCAGTTTTCCCAGCACCGCTTGTTAAAGAGGTTGTCTTTTTTTCCACTGTATATCCTTGCCTCCTTTGTCGAAGATAAGGTGACCATAGGTTCGTGGATTTATCTCTGGGCTTTCTGTTCTGTTCCATTAATCTATATTTCTGTCTTTGTGCCAGTACCATACTGTCTTGATGACTGTGGCTTTGTGGTATAGTGTGAAGTCAGGCAGGTTGATTCCTCCAGTTCCATTCTTCTTTCTCAAGATTCCTTTGGCTATTCGAGGTGTTTTGCATTTCCATACAAATTGTGAAATTATTTGCTCTAGTTCTCTGAAAGCTGCCGTTGGTAGCTTGATAGGGATTGCATTGAATCTGTAGATTGCTTTGGGTACTATAGCCATTTTGACAATATTGAGAATCCCTGTTTTTCAACAACGGAATGAATCAAATCATTGAGTGCAGCAGCTCTGAGGTTACTGTTACAGCTCACATTAAGGCAAGATGGATCAAGGTAACTGTTGGTTTGTTTGTTTTTTTAGCCGTTGGTGAAAATCCAGTAGATGCTGTCTTAAATTTACTTAGAACTCTTGAAGGAAGAATTTTAAGGACCTCAGGAAGGTGCTGTGCTTGGCGAGCGGCGGGGCGAGGAGGGGGGCAGAGGTAGGGCGAAGGGGCGGGGCTGAGGCACTCGGGTGGACCGCGCTGGTGGCTCCCGTTGGGTTTGGGCCCCAGGCAGGTGCCGGGCAGGATGGGTGCTCAGGGCCCCGGCTGCGCTCCGCCTATGCCCGAGGGAGGCTCAGAGGACCGAGGGCCGCGGTCCGCGGCGGGCCCGAATCAGACACCTCCGGGGCCACGTGGCCCTGAGCCACGATCGGGAGTGGGCAGGGGGGGCGCCGACAGGGGGCGGGCCTGGAGAGGCCCAGGGCGGTAGGGCGCCGAGACCTCCGCGCCCCTCACCCCAACCCCAAGCCCAGGCAAGCACGCCCGACCGCCTGCTCGGGGTCCCGGAAACACTCCGGGCCCCCGGGCCGGGCCAGGTTTGCTGGCCAGGGTTACTGGTGTGCGGGGACGGGGAGGCTTCGGCCGGGCTGCCGGCCCTGGCCGGCGCGCCCCGTGGAAAGGTGCGGCCGGCTGGCTCGACACGGCACATCAGAGCGAAAAGGAGGCGCAGCGCAGGGTTTTTAAAGGTGCCTGGCGGCAACCGCCTCCATCTAAGATCATACCACCCTGAACGGGCCAGATGTCTTCTGATCGGGGAAACTAAGCAGGGTTAGTTAGTACTTGGATGGGAGACCCCCTAGTAGTTAGGAGCTCCAGGCTTTTGCACAAAGTAGACGACAAGCCAACGCAGAGGTGATGAAAAGTTTATCGTGAAAAATCCAATTCAACCTGAATTCAAAGATGGTTTATGGCATAAAAGCAAGTGTTTTCCATTAGGTTCCCCCCCACCCCCCATTAACTTGCATAATGGTTGCCATTAGCATAATGCTTAGTTTTTATTCCTTCTTTCCTTGTCTATATCCATCTTTTTGCACCATCATGTGGTGCCTTATTGGCATAATTTTCCGCCTTTTGTCTTCCCATAATGTTGCTGGAGGAGACAGATGGACTCCAGGTTAGGCATTTACATCTAGCCTGTTTACATTTCTTGAGGCAAGAGATGGTTGGGCTCCAGTTGAGCCTTTACAGTCAGTGTCCTGCTTGCCCTGTGAAATGGAAGTAACAACAGAAAGAGGGTAAATAGCCAGTGTCTGTCTCTTATGAACACTTTAGTAGCCATGACAAGGGCAAAGAGGGACAAAACCCTGCTTGAGTCAAGGATGAAGAGATCTCCCCTCCCCCCACCCCCCTTGTGGGAGAAGGGAAACACTACACACGCGCAGAGAGGCTCCTTGTGGGTGAAAAGTCCCGCGAAAATGCCAGACCATGATGAGCCTCGCTTCTCCCAGAAGCCTCCACTTGGAGATCCATCTTGGCTGAGGGGTATGTGCACACCAGGGCAGAGGCCCAGGATAGGTCAGATGTGAAGAAAGGAACCAGAAACTTGGCAGGAAGGAAGACAAAGACCCAGAAGAACTGGCCTATATAAAGGACTTCACCACCTCGTGGTTATTGTGCTCCTTGTCACCAGGGGGCGCCCATAACCTTTCTCTCCAGGTGTGTGTCTCTGCTTTGCTTCTGTCGGAACTAGACCAGCTGTTCCTCCGTGTTCTTTCCCACGTGTTGCTGTGCTGTGTCTCTGATAATAAACGTTGTACCTGCATGTAGCGATTCTGCCTCCATGATGAATGCATTTTTCACTGGTCAAAGATCCAGGGAAACTTGGCTTCTAGCCTCTAGCCCTTGCTGGTCTGGTGGCTAGGATTCCTGGTTTTCGTTCAGGCTACCCAGGTTCAGTTCCTGGGCAGCGAATTAGATCTCACTTCACGCCACCACTCACTGCTGCCTCACTGAGATCAACTCAGTTTTTATCACCATTTAATCTACATCATATGAATTTTTGCAACTTTTCGTAAAAGGACTTCTTAGGTATTAACATACTGATATTTCCATAAGGGGGAAATACTTCTTCCCTAAAACTGCATTGAGAAGATTTGCACTTAAGAAAGTGTGTTTTACTGTAGCAGAATTATTATTTTGTCTTTACACTCTAGCATTTGTTAAATCCTTAACTGCCAAGAACTGTTCAGGCTTCCCTGGTGGCTCAGCTGGTGAGGAATCCAGCTGCAGTGCAGGAGACCTGGGTTCGATCCCTGGGTTGCAAAGACCCCCTGGAGAAGGGAAACGGCTACCCACTCTAGTATTCTGGCCTGGGGAATTCCATGGACTGTACAGTCCATGCGTTTGCAGAGTCAGATATGACAGAGCGACTTTCACTGTTCACCAGCAACGGTTCGGCCTGAGATAAGAACTTTCAAAAATCTTTGAACACAGACGCTCTAACTTATTTTCCCTCTGGGATAAATATTTTGCATTTACTTTTAGGTCATATAGACACAATAGGCAGAGAACTCTCTTATTATGTATTTTATTTGCATGTAAATTAACATCCTAGAAACTTTAAAATAGAAACACTAAATACAGTATTGCACAGAACAATCTCTGTTAAATGCCCCATTATCTCACTGAAGTTCCTATACGCATGCAGGGACTGAAGGAGACAGGAAGATGGCAGAAGAGCAACCCGAGAGCCACTACTGTGTCTGGGCACATCAACTACAGACTGCAAGGTAAGGACAGTATTTTATAGGAATAGAAACATAGTTACAATTCAGATTTCCTTTTTAAGTTGCCTCCTTAATTGGTTTGCAGTAGCAACAGATTCTCCCCTTTTTTCATAGCCATTCCCCAACACATATCATTTTTAAAAATCTATTAATATTAGACAAAGCCATCACAGTGCTTCAGGAGTGACTTCAAGAAAACTCCAATCAAGTCACAGTACTCAGGCAGGTGGGTTTAATAGCCAAGTCCTAGGTAGATATCAATCCATCTGAAAGTGGGCAGTAATGTTTGAACACATCTAGGATTTCCTTTTAAACACATGCTCCAAGGAAAACAGTACTGAATTGACCAGAGGAACAGTAAAAAGAGGACATCACTGGAAGGGAGTTTACACTGCCAGTCTTGCCCTGCAGTCTGGCGCTGGGGTAGCATCTGCTCGCTTGGCCCCTGTGTCCCTCAGGGAGGTCACGGGCTCAAGAGTGCAGAACAAGTATCATCACTAGGACTGCCCAGAGCTGCTGCGAACATCCAAAAAGTTTCACTTTAAGAGTTCTTTAGAGGGCTTCCCTGGCGATCCAGTGCAGGGGCCTGGGTTCAATCTCTGGTCAGTGAACTAGATCCCATTCAGTGCAAGGAAGAGTTTGCACGCCACAATGAAAGATCCCATGTGTGGCAACCAAGACCTGGTGCAGCTTACAAAAGAGAAAAAAGGCACAAAATGTTCTTTAGAAAGTGCTATAAAATGCTATGAATGATTGCTTCTGCTAAGCAAATGGTAAGAAAATATGTGTATTAGTTGCTCAGCGGTGTCCGACTCTTTGTGACTCCATGGACTGTGGCCTTCCCAGTTCCTCTGTCCGTGGAATTCTCTAGGCAAGAATACTGGAAGAGGTGGCCATTCCCTTCTCCAGGCGATCTTCTCAACCCAGGCATGAAACCCAGGTCTCCTGCATTGCAGACAGAGTCTTTACCACCTGAGCCACCAGGGAAGCCCAGGAAATACGTCGACCGGAATCCTCTTAATCAAGACAGGGGCCATTAGAGAGAAAATAACCTACTCGGTTAATTTAGTTTTATTATTGCCATTCTCCTTGGGAATTAAAAATAGGGTACTTCTGGAGAAACTGACAAAGCTGTGATTTATCTTAATAAAAGACTTCTTATGGAGATCTTGAAACCTGTTTCCGGAAAGAAATGAGTTCTAAATATATTTCTTAAGCCTGGTCACAAAGTTTCTAATGACAGAATTCATCTCCCATGCAGCTCAATGAATCCCTGTTGTTTTTTTTTCATTTATTTTTATTAGTTGGAGGCTAATGACTTTACAAATTTTTTTGTCATACATTGACATGAATTAGCCATGGATTTACATGTATTTCCCATCCCGATCCCCCCTCCCACCTCCGTCTCGACCCGATCCCTTTGGCTCTTCCCAGTGCACCAGGTCCGAGCACTTGTCTCCTGCATCCAACCTGGGCTGGTGATCTCTTTCACCCTAGATTATATATACATGTTTCGATGCTGTTCTCTTGAAACATCCCACCCGCGCCTTCTCCCACAGAGTCCAAAAGTCTGTTCTATACATCTGTGTGCCTTTTTCTGTTTTGCAAATAGGGTTATCGTTACCATCTTTCTCAATTCCGTGTATATGTGTTAGTATCCTCTAATGGTCTTTATCTTCCTGGCTTACTTCAGTCTGTATAACGGGCTCCAGTTTCATCCATCTCTTTAGAACTGATTCAAGTGAATTCTTTTTAATGGCTGAGTAAGATTCCATGGTGTATATGTACCACAGCTGCCTTATCCATTCGTCTGCTGACGGGCATCTAGGTTACTTCCATGTCCTGCCTATTATAAACGGTGCTGCGATGAACATTGGGGTGCACGTGTCTCTTTCAGATCTGGTTTCCTCGGCGTGTATGCCCAGAAGTGGGATTGCTGGATCTTAGGGCAGTTCTTTTTCCAGTTTTTTAAGAAATCTCCACACTGTTTTCCATAGTGGCTGTACTAGTTTGCATTCCCACCAACAGGGTAAGAGGGTTCCCTTTTCTCCACACCCTCTCCAGCATTTATTGCTTGTAGACCATTTGGATAGCAGCCATCCTGACTGGCGTGTAATGGTACCTCATTGTGGTTTTGATTTGCATTTCTCGGATAATGAGTGATGTTGAGCATCTTTTCATGTGTCTTTTAGCCATCTGTATGTCTTCTTGGAGAAATGTCTGGTTAGCTCTTTGGCCCATTTTTTGATTGGGTCATTTATTTTCTGGAGTTGAGCTGGAGGAGTTGCTTGTATATGTTTGAGATTAATCCTTTGTGTGTTGCTTCGTTTGCTGTTATTTTCTCCCAATCTGAGGGCTGTCCTTTCACCTCGCTTATAGATTCTTTGTCGTGCAAAAGCTCTTAAGTTTCATTAGGTCCCGTTTGTTAATTTTCGCTTTTGTTTCTAATACTCTGGGATCCTGCTGTGATGTATGTCGGAGAGTGTTTTGCCTGTGTTCTCCTCTAGGAGTTTTATGGTTTCTGGTCTTAACATTTAGATCTTTAATCCATTTTGAGTTTATTTCTGTGTATGGTGTTAGAAAGTGTTCTCGTTTCATTCTTTTCCAGGTGGCTGACCAGTTTTCCCAGCACCGCTTGTTAAAGAGGTTGTCTTTTTTTCCACTGTATATCCTTGCCTCCTTTGTCGAAGATAAGGTGACCATAGGTTCGTGGATTTATCTCTGGGCTTTCTGTTCTGTTCCATTAATCTATATTTCTGTCTTTGTGCCAGTACCATACTGTCTTGATGACTGTGGCTTTGTGGTATAGTGTGAAGTCAGGCAGGTTGATTCCTCCAGTTCCATTCTTCTTTCTCAAGATTCCTTTGGCTATTCGAGGTGTTTTGCATTTCCATACAAATTGTGAAATTATTTGCTCTAGTTCTCTGAAAGCTGCCGTTGGTAGCTTGATAGGGATTGCATTGAATCTGTAGATTGCTTTGGGTACTATAGCCATTTTGACAATATTGAGAATCCCTGTTTTTCAACAACGGAATGAATCAAATCAT